CCCATTGAATTATCCAAAACAGTTAGATACATGATTAGCGGCCTTCCTTCGATGCGTGGCATCAAGATAGAAGGTTCTAGAAAATACTCCTTGATTTTATCGAAAGCAACTTGACAGTCATCATTCTATTCAACCACCTGATCTTTCTTCAATAGCTTGAAGATTGGCTCGCAGGTAGATGTTAGGTGAGAAATGAACCTTGCGATGTAGTTTAGGCGTCCCAAGAAACCTCTGACCTCCTTCTCATTGCGAGGGGCAGGAATTTCTTGTATGGCTTTGACTTTGGCAGGATCAACCTCGATGCCTTTGTTGCTGATGATGAATCCCAAAAGTTTACCGGACCTAACTCCGAAAGTGCACTTGTTAGGGTTCAATCTGAGCTTGTACTCTTTCAACCTGACAAATAGCTTTTGCAGATGGTTGAGGTGTTCTTCTTCTTTCTGTGACCGGGCTATCATGTCGTCTACGTAGACTTCAATCTCATGATGTATCATGTCATAAAACAAAGCTACCATGGCTCGCTGATAGGTTGCCCCGACATTCTTCAGTCCGAATGTCATCACTTTATAGCAGAAGGTACCCCACTGTGTAACAAAAGTAGTCTTCTCCATGTCTTCAGGGGCCATTTTGATCTGGTTGTACCCTGAAAATCCATCCATGAAATAAAATACCTTATGTTGAGCTGTATTGTCAACCAAGATGTCAATGTGCGATAATGGAAAGTCATCTTTAGGGCTAGCCCTGTTTAAGTCTCTGTAATCCACGCACATTCGCACTTTGCCATCCTTCTTAGGCACAGGCACAATGCTAGTAACCCATTATGGATAGGAAGTAACGACAAGAAACCCAACATTGAACTGCTTCATCACTTCAGCTTTGATCTTTTCTGACATGTCGGGCCTCATTCGGCAGACTTTCTGTTTAATTGGTGGACAATCTTCTCTTGTAGGGAGACGGTGAACCATAATATCTGTATCGAGTCCCGGCATGTCTTCGTAGGACCAGGCGAAGATCTCAACATATTCATTCAACAGCTGAACTAAGCGCTCTTTGACATTTGGCTTTAGGTTGGCACCCACTTTAACCTCTTTTCTGTCTTCATCAGAACCCAAGTTGATTGTCTCTAACAGCTCTTCATGGGGCAGAATAGCCCTTTCTTCCTGTTGTAGCAGTCTAGCCAACTCTCCAGGCACTTCACAGTCTTCATCACCTTCGTATTCGGCATGATTGACCAGATCTTCAGAGTCACTGAAGGTCATAGCAGAATTGTCACCCATGGAATCTGGAATGGAAGGGTACCTGCATTTTGTGAGTGTGTGTGTGTGTAAGGGATAGCCACCTTTAAACAAATAAAATGTAAAAAGAAAGAAAATGAACATAAAAGTTTATATGTGAAAACGTCCATGATTCATTAAAAATGGCATATGAAGATGAAAAATCAAGCCCTTACAAATGGACCTATATGCCTCAGGTAAGGCATAAGGCAAAAGTGTACGAATTGTTTAAGAATTATTACAGACCAACAGAAATGTTCGAAAGATAAATTACTGATTTATGAAAGTAATGGGGACAAAGTCCTTTGCCTCCCAGTTGTTCAGCCCTCCGTCAATAGTCGGGAAAATCCAGTCTTCAAAGTTGCTCTCATCTTCACCATCCTCCAAAGCATGAACTCCATGATGAGTGATCTTCAATGGTGGCCCTCCATCCCGAGAGCGGCGCACAACCTTTTGAGCAGAAGCAGTGAAACCCAAGACGAACTTATCTGTCTTGTAAGGAAAGTCTGGTAGCTGACCCCATACTGTGCTTCCTCCTTCCTCGATCACAGCCTTCACATCTTTAAGGGATGACATCCGAGCCACAGACTTGGTAATGATGGGTACATAAGTCATTGTCTTGGCTGCCGCAACTTCAGGAGAAACCTCTTCAAAGTGTTGGAAAGGGGTTTCTATGAATTCGCCATCTAACTCCACATAGCGGAAAGAATTAAGATGGCTTATCATATACTCCTCCTCACCATGAACTGTTATAATTTTCCCCTGGACTGGGTATTTGAACATTTGGTGCAGAGAAGAAGTGACGGCCCCAACATTGTGGATCCAGGGTCTTCCCAACAAGCAAGAATATGAAGGACGGATGTCCATCACATAAAATGTAGAGTTGAAAGTTTCCGTTCCCACTTTAATTGGGATGTCCACCTCCCCGTGGACCATCCTCTTAGAACCGTCAAAGGCTCTGACAATGATATTGCTGGGCTTCAGGGTCAAACCTTCACTGTCCAATCTGTCCAATGCTTTCTTCGGCAAGACATTTAAAGACGACCCGATATCAACCAAAACGTGAGCTAAAGTAGTCCCTCTGCATTCCACCGAGACATGCAACGCGTCATTATGCTTTCTTCCCTTAGATGTTAGATCGGCATCGGAGAAGCCAAGACCATTGTCGGCTGTTAGGCTGGCTACACACTCTTGGAACTGGTCCGCGGAGGTTTCTTGAGGCACGTGGGCCGTCTTCAGGAATTTGATCAAGGCTTTGGCATGAGCTTTGGAGCAGAGCAATAGGGCCAGCATAGAGATTTTTGAAGGGGTTTTCCCCAGTTGTTCTAAGACATCATAATCGCTTTTCTTAATTATTTTTAAAATCACCTCCATTTACTTTTGAGTGGTCTCGGGGATGGCCAAAGGCTGAGCCCTCGTCGTGACGGGCGCTTCTTGGATCCCCTTACCTTTATCAGCATCAAAAACAGAGGGTACAACTACGGGAGTAACAATTTCTTCAATAACTGGAGTTCGCACATAGATGTTGACCGGCACAGGAGTAACCTTAGGAGCATTTGAGGGTCCGAAGATTTCCCTTGGAGGAGCAATCTCCGGAGAGAAAATTCTTCCGCTGTGGGTGATCTTACTCGTCCCAGCAATATTTCCTATGTCAGGAGTCTCTTCATCAGAACTTTCTTCAACTGATTCAATCTGCTTAACACCATGGTAGAAGATCTCTCCTCTATAATTCCACGGTATTGATTTGTTGGACTTGTATGGGATAGGCCCCGACATGATAATCTTCAGCGGCACAATCTTTGGATCGGATGTAACCTTAACAGGTCTTTTGGAGACCTTGGAAAGATTGGCGGAAATGGTAATTATAGCAACATCTTCGACATGAATCGGAGTAACATGAGTTTTCTCAAAGAGGATTTCTTGATTATCCATTAGGCGTTGGATGCCTAACTTCAACAACGGACAGTCGAATTGTAAGGACGAACAAAGGTAACAATCTTTTCCACAGCCTGGGAAAATCCCGGCTTTCAACAGATTCATCTTGATTATTGGCAACAGAGTCATCAAATTATCAACAACAGCAACATACAAATCCTCTTCAATAGCATGGGCATTGTGACCATGCTTTGGCATTGGGGCAGAGATCACATTCGGCTTTTCGGGCGCGTTTAATTCCACTTCCTTAGCGTCTATTAAATCCTGGATCTTATTTTTGAGGGCCCAACAATTATTGGTGTCGTACCCCAGGCTGTCCGAATGATAAGCACATTTGGTGTTGGCATGGTAAAAAGGAGAAGTTGTATTCGGGTTCTTTGGTGCCTCTTTCAAGGTTGTAAGGTTTAACTTCAAGAGATGGGGTAGAACCTGAGCGGGTGTCATGTTTATCCGAGTATACTACCGTTCTGGTCTTTCTACCATTTGCTGGTTGGTTCTTGGTTGACTGTTTCGAGGCTGATCAGATGCGAACTTCTGAATCATTACGGCCCCCACTGCTGGCCGGTGCTCAACTCTTCCTTGTCCTCTTTGAGAGTAGACAGCTGAGACTTCCTTCTTTGCTAGAAAAGTTTTCTTGACGACAGTGGAAGCAGGCGTATCTTTCTGAATTTTACCGCTCTTGATGCCAGCTTCAACTCTTTCACCAGTCAGAATTAACTCGGTGAACCCTGCAGACGAACTTCCTATCAGGTGATTAAAGAACGGACCTGACAGAGTCCCCAAAAACATATCAACAAGCTCTCTTTCAGACAATGGTGGCTGCACCCTTCCAGCCAAGTCCCTCCATTTTTGAGCATACTCCTTAAAGCCTTCATTAGAGACCATACCCATACTCTGTAATTGAGTACGAGTAGGTGCTAAGTCCGCATTATATTGATATTGTCTATAGAAAGCAGCAGCCAAATCCTCCCAATTGTGCACATCAGACCTCTCAAGCTGGTAGAACCAATCCAATTGTGTACCCGACAAACTATCTTGAAAAAAGTGGACCCACAGATCCTTGTCAGAAGAATGAGGTTGAATTTTTCTGACGTAAGATCGTAGGTGCATCTTTGGGAAAGACACCCCATCGTATTTATTAAACAGAGGAACTTTAAACTTGGGGGGAATGACAATCCCAGAAACCAACCCTAACTCTTCGAAATCCAGCCCAGGCACCCTCTGTACCTCCATAGCTGCCAGACGTTCTTCCAGATTCTTATACTTGTCATCTGCAGGAGGGTACTGCTGTTCTGAATAGTCTTCATCCTCCTCCTCTTCTTCTTCAGCCTCAGACTCAGATGGTACTGTAGCTCCCTTTCCTTTTCCTACCCCTTCATCAGATGTTGAGGGGAAGTCCAGGACCCTTCTAGTTTGACCTTCAAATCTTCTACCCAGAGTAGCCACACCAACTCTCTTCTTTTTCTTTTTCTCCTTTTCCTTCTCTAACAGTTCTTTAAGATCCTCCTGACCCTTTGCCAAGGTCACGAGGAGTTGTTGGAACTGTGAATTCTGCGCTTGTAAGTCTTTGACCGTCTGCTCTATATCCATCTTGCTGAAATAAACAGCAGAGAGATAAGGAAACCTGGTGTGAAGACCTGCTTATGCATATGATGAATGAAATGTATTCATGTAATGCATTTAAGGATTCAAAAATTCAAATTTGTTGTAAACAAAAAGAACACACGTCATAATAATAAAAATAAAATTTGTTAGTACATAAATGCCCCATGGGAAAAATAATACAAAATTCTAAGGTAAAAAGACGTTGCGCATCCTCTTTAGTGCAATGTAGGTGTTGAGAGTCTGCTCTTCATGGAGTCGACGAGTAAGTTCTATAACCTTCTTCTCACTGGCGTAGAATTGGGCTTCAAAAGTGTTGCGTTCTCCCTTGAGCTGTATCCAACTCCTTTGTAAATCTTCCAATGATGTTGGCATGTCAGGATGTAGGAGGGTGTATGGAACCTCTCCTTCCATAACAGGCTCTTTGATCATCGGGAGAATGTAGGGGTAAGGCATCATAAGACTCTGGGCGCGGGTTCGTACCCACTTGAGGTAAGGCTCAAGGGGGATGGAATTCTTGTGTCCCAGTGTCTTACTGTCCACTTTGTTGGGCATCCTCCAAGCTCGGATAAACCTTTGTCGAAGTCCTTGAGCGTCGTTGTCGAAGTCAAAAACCAAGTCTGGAATCAGCATGTCATGAGGGCCATCCCTTCGGGCATACCCAAACTGTCTCAGAGCCAAACAGGGGTTGTAGGTGATGCCTCCCCTAATGCCAAGTAGTGGGACATTAGGGAATTCCCCACAACGATCAATGATGATGACATTTTCTCTGGACCGAGAACACCAATGAACATCTGAATGTGTAAGAGTCATCAATCGTTGTGACTACCTCAAGCCTTTCTCATTCTTCAAGACTGATTGGGGAAGGTGAGAAATAAACCACCTTGCTAGAAGAGGAGTACAACACATGAGAACACCTCTTTTCCTCATTGTTCGTGTGTGAAATGAGTGTAGGATGTCCCTAAGCAATGTAGGCACAAGATTCCGAGATATGAAAATCTTGACAGCATTCACATCTATAAGCTGATCAGGGTTTAGGAACAAGACCAAACCATATATGAGAAGTGCTACAATCTCCTCAAAAGCTTGTAGGTCTAGGGAATTCCAACATTCTTGTGCCTTTTCAAACAGAAATTTTGCCAAGAAACCCTTGACACCGCTTCTGGTTTCCCAATGACCTTTGATATCAGATGGTTGTAAGTGTAAGGCTTGAGCAACATCTTCAGCCTTTGGCTCTATTTCGGTACTGTTGTAGGGTAGTTGGTGGAGAATAGGAATCCTCAGGAGTTGAGAAAATTCCTCCAAAGTAGGCACTAACTGGTAATCAGGAAATGTGAAGCAGTGGTGTAGGGGGTCAAAGAACTGGAAGAGAACTTTCACCATGTCTTCCTCTATGTTGGAGTTGACCAAGTTGAGAAGTCTACCATGTCTTTCAGTGAAGGGAGAATTCTCTGGAATCTTGGAAATAAGCTCCTTGAGTTGAGAAGGGATTCTCACAAGGTTGACCTGAATTGTTTTCCTGCGGAGTGATTCCATTACATATAAAACAGGAACAAAGATGAAGATCCAAACCATTGAAATGGTTAGTGGATGCATATGATGCTTCATGATGTTCATGATGTATGCACAAGTATATGTACAAACAAATCACACAAGATCCTAGTTTTAGGCTTGCATGGGGTTTCATAGGTAAGTACCCTCTTGAAGTTAGTTGACTCAACCTGTCATATAAATAGTAATCGGGTTCTAAGGAGCTCAATATCACTGGATTATTTTCTGTGTTCATTGTTTCAGTTTAGCCACTTTATTTGCGACCGAAATATTCCAAGAAAACAACCCTCAATGAGTGTAGTATCGAGTATCTACCAACTTCGGACTGCACCAAAGCCTGTCATCTCACTGCCCCTAAAAAGGCCAAAATAATCCGCTATGTCAAAGTAGACAAATACAGTCAAAAGAGACCAATCCAGTCAAAAAAGACAAATCCAGTCAAAGAAGACAAATCCAGTAAAAAAAGACAAATCCAGTCAAAGAAGACAAATCCAGTCAAAGAAGACAAGTCCAGTTAAATCCTAAAGGTTTTTCTGATGCTCATCCAGTCAAAGAAGACAGGTCCAGTTAAATTACTTCCAAGTCAAAGAAGACAACCCATCGTTATAGACACCCGTCATAATAGACAACTCGTCATTGAAGACAAACCGTCGCTATAGACACCCGTCATTATAGACAACTCGTCATTGAAGATAACCCGTCATTATAGACAACTCGTCATTGAAGACAACCCGTCAGTATAGACACCCGTCATTGAAGACAACCCGTCAGTATAGACACCCGTCATTGAAGACATCCTGTCATTGAAGGCATCCCGTCATTGAAGATAACCCGTCATTGAAGACAACTCGTCATTTAAGACAACTCGTCATTGGAGACAACTCGTCATTGAAGACAACTCGTCATTTAAGACAACTCGTCATTGAAGACAACTCGTCATTGAAGACAACTCGTCATTTAAGACAACTCGTCATTAAAGACAACTCGTCATTGAAGATCACTCGTCATTGAAGACAACTCGTCATTGAAGACAACTCGTCATTGAAGACAACCCGTCATTATAGACACCCGTCATTGAAGACAACTCGTCATTGAAGACACCCGTCATTAAAGACAGCTCGTCATTGAAGACAACCCGTCGTTATAGACATCCGTCATTATAGACATCCGTCATTATAGACACCCGTCATTGAAGACAACCCGTCATTGAAGACACCCGTCATTGAAGACAGCTCGTCATTGAAGACAACCCGTCAGTATAGACACCCGTCATTGAAGACATCTCGTTATTAAAGACTACCCGTCATTGAAGACAACTTGTCATTGAAGACAACTCGTCATTGAAGACATCTCGTCATTGAAGACAACTCGTCAGTATAGACACCCGTCATTGAAGACAACTCGTCATTGAAGACAACCCGTCATTATAAACAACTCGTCATTGAAGACAACTCGTCATTTAAGACAACTCGTCATTGAAGACAACTCGTCATTGAAGACAACTTGTCATTTAAGACAACTCGTCATTGAAGACAACTCGTCATTGAAGACAACTCATCATTGAAGACATCTCGTCATTGAAGACAACTCGTCAGTATAGACACCTGTCATTGAAGATAACTCGTCATTGAAGACAACCCGTCATTGAAGACAACTCGTCATTGAAGACAACTCATCATTGAAGACAACCCGTCATTATAGACAACTCGTCATTGAAGACATCTCGTCATTGAAGACAACTCGTCATTGAAGACAACTCGTCATTGAAGACAACTCGTCATTGAAGACAACTCGTCATTGAAGACATCTCATCATTGAAGACAACTCGTCATTGAAGACAACTCGTCATTGAAGACAACTCGTCATTGAAGACAACTCGTCATTGAAGACAACCCGTCATTATAGATAACTCGTCATTTAAGACAACTCGTCATTGAAGACAACTCGTCATTGAAGACAACTCGTCATTGAAGATGACTCGTCATTGAAGAAAACTCGTCATTGAAGATCACTCGTCGTTAAAGACAACCCGTCCATGAAGACAACCCGTCCAAAGAGGCAACTCGTCAAGAAAGACAAAACCTCCTCTGGTTCAGTTAAATCCTAAAGATTTTTCTGAGATAACCTGTCAGTGGAGACAACCCATCAACCTTTTGAAGTTCCAGATTCGATACCTGTATCTAGCCAGGGCATGTCTGTGAGAGACTGAGTGAAGATCAACCCCTGTAACGGGCCAGGTAATTATCTTTCTTTCTTAGGTACGCAAGTTCTCGCTAAGGAATCTCTTACGCGATTGACACCTAGATGGCATCTATAAGCCCATCCTCCCATCACAGTTCCAAATGGCATCTATAAGCCCATTCCCGACAAGGTTCTGTCACATTTCCAGATGGCATCTATAAGCCCATCCTCCTATCCACCGTCTCTCCAAATGGCATCTGTAAGCCCATTCCCGACATCACACTGCTGATACTCTACTATGTGAGTGCAAATTTCTGGGCACTCTAGTGTTCAATCATCTTCCACCCTCGGATCACAAAAGGCACACAAGCCAATCTACATCCTCAGGTCTAAGAAGATTGAACAGGGGCAACTGTTGTACCCCAAAATTTGCCCTCCCATATTCTTCAAAGTTTTGGCAAGCATTTGCTCAAGTCTACTCAAGGGCTACACAGTCAACCATCCTCCTAAGCCAGTCAAATTAGGGTTTTGGTTCTTGCAAAGAAGTTAAGGTTTCAAGGGCTTAATCAAGTCCCATATGCTCATATACATTGTCAAGCACCTACATGTCAAGTTTCAAGGCTCACAAGGTCAAGTTGCACAGTCAAAAACCCTAATTGCTCCACAGTCAACTGTAGGGGCAAAATGGTCATTTGGCAGTCAAAAGTCAAAATTTTTGGTCAACATCTTATTTTGAAGCCACAATCATCATTTGGTCAAATCTTGACCATGATTCCACAAGAATGGCTCAAAAAATCATCAAGGTGTCAAAAGTTTCTATTTTTGGACAGCTGAAAAGTCAACTGTAACTTGACCAAGGCATAACTTTTTCATGGTTCATCATAAAAATCCCATACCATGCTCATTTTGAAGGGGATGACATTTCCTACAACTCATCTTCACATTCCAAGTCCAAGAAATGCTCTCACAAAAAGTTACCAATTTCAACATTATAGGTCATTTTCAAAAGTCAACAAAAAGGCATTTTAAGTCAAAGACCATAACTTGATATTGGTAAATCAAAATGACATGGGACCAAAGGAATTGGTTAAAGTACTTCAAGACCTTTCCAAAATGTCCAAGAACATGTTCATATGATCAAAATTGAGCAAGATATGCATTGGAGAAGTTGGGAAATTTTTGTGAAATGGCCAAAGTCAACTATCCTTGAAACTTCAATTTTTGACAAAAGGGCCCACTTTTTTCCACTTGATTCAGCCTTGTCATGCCACCCACGTGTCCCATGACCCATTACAAGACCAAACATTTATTTTTTCATTTTTATTTAATTTTTATGGATTTAATTCACTTTAATCCATAATAATTCAAATAAAAAATCAAAAAAATGAATTAAATGGTATCTTTGAGTTTTGAATGACTTTTATATGTCATAATACACATGCCAAATTCGTGCCAAGCCTATTATGAGCATGAAATTCAAATTTTGAACAAAAATGGAATGTTTCTTTAATGGTGGTTATGAGAAAATCTAAAGCTTAATGGCAATGGTTAAAAGCTCCTTAATGTGACTGATTCTCATCCAAGCCTATATATACAAGCCTTGCAAGCCTCATTCACACCTAGAACATTACACAAATGGCCAGAGCAAAATCCAAAAAGTGTCAAAAAAAGTGTGAGATCAAAAGGAGTTTTGCAAGCATTTCCAGGCCAAAAGGAGAACGTGACTCTCTTCTTTGCCATACCCTGAAGCTAAAGCAACCCTTACCACGTCCTAAGGTCCATTATCAAGCACTGTAAGTGTTCCCAGGTCCCCCAAACATTATTTCTATTTTTTCTTAACATGGTTCTGTACAGGCTATCCCAAGTGTCCCACCATACACCTCATCCTGATGCATGCCATGTGTCCTCAAACGCTGATCTAATGGCCAAAAGATGCTGGACACCATGCTCTCAGTCAACCGTGCCATGGAGAATCTCACAAAGTCCACAAGGCTTGAGATAATGGGCCTCACAATTCCAGATTACACCCCCATTGGTTTCTATTTCTTTTTCTATTTTCCTTTTCTTTTTATTTTCTTTAGTAATTATTTAATTAATCAATTAATTAACACTTTTCATAATAAAAATTCAAAAACTAAAAAATGTAAATATTTCATTTATTATTAATCTCACTCTTTTATTTTTTGTAAATAAAATACTAACAAATTAATTAGTTAATTAGTTTAATTTTAACCTTTTTACAATAAATAAAAACAATTTAGACTTAGGCTTTTCTTTTGACATTTTTAATTCCTTTTTATTTTTATTTTCATTAAAAACATAAAAATACAAAAATATTTTTCTTTTAATTAAATTAATTAATTAGTAATTAGGCCTAATTTTCATTTAATTACAAAAAAAAAGGACAAATTCAATTTAATTCTAAAAAAGGGTTAAAACCCTTAGGACGTTCCCGATTTAATTTCTTTTCGCGCTTTAATTCCTTTTTATTATATTTATGTAACTGTTTCCGGATATGTAATAGTTAATTAGGACTTTATTGCTTTCTTTTAATTTCTTGCATTTTTATTTTTCAAAACGGGTTTTGTTTTTAGCGATGTATAGACCCGCGCCTTGTAATAGTTAGATTTACATTTCCGCAATTTATTTTCCGCACTCCTAACTGTTAAAAAAATGCATGAAAGAATGTATGTAAATAAAATTAATCCGTAGCTCACAAATAATATGCAAAGACAAACATTAACTGAAAAACAACACACAAAGCACATGCCACTCCTAGGGTACGCCTCACTGGTTGCCTCGAA